ATATATATATATATATATATATATATATATATATGTATATGTATACCGTTGGTGAAGGCCACTGAATATACAAACTGCGAGTGTACTCTAGTGAGGGTGAAATTACAAGAGAAAGAAGAAGTATAGTAGTGATAGTGGTGGCACAAAAAAAAAATAAAGGAAAGGAAAGAAGGTGATCTTAGGATACTATATTAGATCATAATAACAATAATAATAAACGAATAAAACTAATCCAAAGTAAGTGGTGCTAGAGGGAGGGGGAAAAAATGGAGCACCGATTCTCAAAACGTGAATACTTTGTTAGTTGTGCCTTTACAATTTTATTTTCTGGTATTGTGGCAGTTGCTTATTTTGATACATCCACATGTCCATACCGGTACAATCGCGCTACACCATGGTCAATGACTACTTCCAGTGATAATAATAATAATAATAATAATAATAATAATGACATTGGTATGAGTACTGTTGGTCATTATAAGTATGCATCTACACAACCACGATCTCTATTCAGTTCTCTTGTGCAGGAAGGTGGTCTTACTTGTCACATGACCGATCTTGTTATTTGGGTTTATATTATAGGACTTGTGTTATTTATATCCCATAAGGCATATCATTACCGAATTCAAGGTTTACATTACTTTCTTTTGGATTATTGTTATTTCCATAATTTTTGTTTGGTTTTATTTTTATTATGGCGTCTTGTGGATGTACAATGGTCGGAAGAACCATTAATTTCTTGGGAAACGTATTTACCGGAGAGTTGGCAATCCGAACGTATAAGCAGCAGTATTAATAGTAATAGTAATACTGGTGGTAGTAGTAGTAGTGTGATTGAGATGATTCATGATCATAAAGGAGTAGTAACGACGGTAACTGCAAAAGTAACACCATTTATTAATCAAACATGGAAATCATGGGCACAACAAGTAATACCATCAACAATGCGTCAAATATTATTAGTGGCTGGTATTTATAAACCTATTTCTGTAGATATTATTACTATTGGTTATGCTGCTGCAGAAGTTTCTACTCCAGATGATTTATTATTAGCCTTTTTATCCTTCTTTACATTGGTAGCAGGAAGTTTCGGTCCTATTCTTGGAGCTATATTAATTTGGAAAAATGCCCTTTTATTTCATTCCTTTGATCGTATGTCATCTAGTTATTTACATCTTGCCCCTGCTATAACTCAGGTGTTATTACTACATCGTCTTTTTACTACAGCCAGACAAGAACTTGCATCTTTTGATGATAGTTCAAATAGTACAAATCATAGTCATGATCATAGTAGTAGTGGTGGTAGTTGTAGTAATACTTTACAACATCGTTTAAATGAACTTTGTAGTCAAGGAACTCTTTGTTATGATCTTCGTCATGCTGTATCTTACCGAACACTTCTTGAACTTCATTTTGTGATGTTTATTGCTTGGCAGATTTTTTATCATACCATTAGTGAGAGTCGTCGAGTTTCTCGTATAAAATCACATCGTAAACGATTAAAAGAACTTGAGCAACGACAAGAAGAGTTATGTAGACTCACAGGGGCAACTCGAGAAGAGGCACAATTACTGCGACCTATATTACTTTTATCGGAAGGTCTTGCTGGGGATCCTGCCCATCGTGTAACGGCTTATACATGGATGTGGGAACATCCTCCACTTGGTAAAGAAGGTCCACTCTACCGATTTGTTACTTTATTTGGTAAAGGATATCTTCCAACGGTGATTATGTTTCAAGTAACCCAATGGATTTTACATGTTATCTTCTTTACATTAGCTTATGGATCTCTTTATTATAGTTTTCATGTGGCTTTCTCTGCATGGCCATTAACTTTGTATGTTATTCTATTTGTGATATTGTGTGTATATAATGCAGCTGTGGTAAATAAACGATGGATTCAAAAACTACAGCGTTTGGCTGAAATTGGATTAGCAGCACAACGTACACGAACACTTAGGGAGGAGGGAAATGTGGGAAAATAAAAAGAAAATAACTACATCTCAGCTTCTTAAAGATTTGAAGGCGATGTAGAAATGTTTGTAATGTATTGGAACTGTGGTTATTGGAGACCACATCCCATCCCTACCCTTTTTTTTTTCTTTCTTTTTTAAAATGGTTATTATTATTATTATTATTATTTTACTCCTTGTGTGTAAGTTTTCTAGTGTATTCGGTTTTAATTCCATCTTTCGCTCCATCAGGGGCGAAGGAAGAAAGAAAGAAGTCAAATAAAAGAGGGTAAATGAGGAAGTATCAAAAGAAGTGAAAACCCTCATTACTTTTCTTCATTTACCCTTCTATTGTTTTTTTTTTTAAGGTGATTATTTTTTTTTTCTTTTGTCGTTGTTGTTCTTCTTGTTGTTACGGTTTGCCCCCTTCCCCACCATTTGTTTACGTTTTTTAATTATTATTATTTAGTTTGTGTACAGGTTAGACCAATCAGCTGTTTGCAGAAGCAAAGAACAGCGCTCCCATACGAGTAAAAAAAGAGATAACAGGGAAATTTTAGAAAAGAAGAAAGGAAAAAAGAATACATGCCGCCACATAAATCATACCGTCAAGAGGCAGGAAAGCAGCGCCATCACAAGGGTCGTGTTGGACGCATGTTGGTACCACACGGAAATGTCTCAGGTCTGCTCTTCACAGTGAATCCCCGTCAAGAAAAGAAAGCACTTCGTGAAGTACAACTTTATCTACATCCGCTTATTGCAGATCTCGAGAAGACGTATGTAGAAGAGAATGAAAAGGAAGGAGTGAAAAAAGATTCACTACAAAAGCAGGATGAGGAACAAGGAGGTATGGATACTAATTTACCACTTGACAATATGCCTTCAACATCCAGTCTGCTTGCGGCAGAGCTTGCGGAGTATATTCCTGCTCATCATGATCGACATGATAGAAACATAAGATCTGAAAATATTGAGGATGAGAGTGATACGGCGAGTAAGAGTGAAAATAATGATAATAACGATGATGATGGCGATAATGATGATGGGAATACGACACCTCCACGAAAACGCCAGAAGCCTGAGGAGAGTGGAACTAAAAAGGAAAGGATAGCGAATAAATGCCGTTGGTTAGCCCCGCTTGAGACTGGGTGCAAAGGTCATTTGATGATCAGCATTCCATTCCCTTCACAACAAGCAACAGAAGAAACAGTAACAACAACAACAATGACGATGGGATGGAGTGAGAAGAATTATGTAAGTGAAGAGCCTTCGTCAGATCAGGTTGATTCTCCTTTGGAAGGGTCTCTGGAAGCAGAAAAACCCAGCGGTGACAACCCCCCTTTACCCCATTCTATTCTACACAATCCGTTGGTGCAAACAGTGGTAGAACGAATCTTTAAAGATATTGAAGAAAATCCACGCCCTTTACTAAGGCATTGTTTCCGATTAATGCCATGTGAACTCACCTGCTGCCCTACCCTACCGGAAATGCGTGCAGGACTTGAACGACTTTTGAATGTGTATTTTCCTCCAAAACCTGGAAATCAGCAACTCCATCGCGTTAGTTTTTCTTTTAAGGTGAAGAATAACACGAATGTGGAGAACAAGAAAGCCTATTTGCAAGCAGCTCTGGAGGCCGCTTTTCCAGCAAACCGCTTCGTCTTAATACCATCTACTCGTGTTAAAAGTTGTGAGGGTGGAGTGGAGGCCACATTCTGCGCACTTGTAGTGCACTCCACTTGCGCCATGGGGACCCAGTGGCACTTCACAGAGCGTAGCGAATACAACTTGCACGCCATAGGCGAGAGTCACCTTGAGTTGTCATCTGCCGTTTCGAAAAAAACACCATAATTTTGTTAATTTCATTATTAGTATTTTTATTATTTTAACGCGCCGTTTCACCACAGCGACGCGGCAAAGAAAGACAAAGAAAAAGAATCAAGAACAATAATAATAAAAATAAAAAAACAA